AAAAAAAAAAAAGAAAGGCAATGAGGCAAGAGTGTTTTAATATTACTGAGTTCTCCTGGGAAAGGAGTTATCATTGAGCTTTTCACTGAGTTCAGCTCAGCTATAAAACCTACAGAGGGAGGATATCATAAATTACAACAAGATGGGAAGTTCCTGGAATAAAAAAAGGATTTACATAATTTTTGTAAGCATACTTTTCTGAAAGGTGTACATTTCAGCATTTTATGTTTTCATTGTTTAGAAAAATGATAGTTTTTATTGCTTTGAAAATATTAGAATAAATGTATCATGCCGCCTGCCACGGCTTCTCTAATTTTCTTTTTTATATTTATTTTGCTCTATCTAGAATTTATTTTGTTTTTTATTTTTATTTATTAATTTATTTTTGAGACAGAGTCTTACTATGTTCCTCTCAGTAGAGTGCTGGGGCATCACAGCTCACAGCAACCTCAAGCTCTTGGGCTTAAGTGATTTTCTTGCCTCAGCCTCCCAAGTAGTTGGGACTACAGGCACCCACCACAATGCCCGGCTATTTTTTGTTGCAGTTGTTGTTGTTCTGCTGGCCTGGGCCAGGTTCAAACCCGCCACCCTTGGTGCATATGGCACAGTGCCATAACCACTGTGCTATGGGCACTGAGCCTAGAATTTATTTTAATGAAAAGAATGAGGTAGAGATTCATTATTTTAAAATTATTTTTAAAATACTGTTTTTAATACTATTTTAAAATGTTCCCTAAACAGTAAAAATGATTTTACTGTTTTGTATAGTGGAGTTTTTTTGCTTTTTTTTTTTTAGAGAGAGAGAGTCTCACTTTATTTCCCTCAGTAGAGTACTATGGTGTCACAGCTTATAGCAACCTCCAACTCTTGGGCTTAGGCGATTCTCTTGCTGCAGCCTCCTAAGTAGCTGGGAGTACAGGCGCCGGCCACATTACCCAGCTATTTTTTTGTTGCAGTTTGACTGGGACTGGATTTGAACCTGCCACCCTCCATATATAAGGCTGGTGCCCTACTCACTGAGCCACAGGTGCCACCCTTGTTTGCTTTTTTTTTGAGGCAAGGTCTCACTCTGTTGCCCAGGCTGATATGCAGTTGCATGAGCATAGCTCGCTGTAACCTCAAATTTCTTGCCTCCAGTGATCCTTCTGCCTCAGCCTCCTGAGTAGCTGGGACTATAGGTGCTGTGCCATTGTGCTCAGCTAATTTTTTTTTTTTAAGAGACTGGGTCTTGCTATGTTGCTCAGTTTGGTCTTGATCTCCTTAACTGAGGCTAGCCTCCCATTCATCCTCCCAAAGTACTGGGATTACAGGTGTGAGCCACCATGCCTGGCCTCATTAGTGTTTTTTAAGACTGAGTTGTGGTTTTATACTTTACATCTATAGAAAAGTGTATGTAAGGATGTCCAAATAACTGGCTTTGTCTTGATCCTTTATGATACCCAGCTCTTAGTGCAGTAGGATAGTAGCATAGTGGACATAAAATAAGAATTTTTCAAATGAGAAAGCGACAACTGAGGAAGGGACGGGAAAGAAGAGGAGTGTTTTCTTTTTTGTGTGTGTGGTTTTTGGCTGGGGCTGGGTTTGAACCCGCCACCTCCAGCATATGGGGCCAGCACCCTACCCCTTTGAGCCACAGGTGCCGCCCGGAATGTTTTCTTTCTTTTCTTTCTTTTTTTTTTTATTTTGGAGAATATTTTTTTTTTTTTTTTTTTATTGAATGGTAACTGTGTACATTGATGCACTTTGGGGGTACAGTGTGGTGTTTTCACACACAATCCAAGACACTTCCATCAAACTGGTTAACATAGCCTTCATGTAACTTTCTTAGTTATTATGTCAAAACATTCATATTCTACTCATAGAAAGATTCACTTGTACCCTTGCAAGATGAACCACAAAAGTGAACCCTCAAATCCCTCTCCCTCCACCCTCTCCCCTCTCCCTCCCCCCTCCCCATATCCTTAGGTTGTTATTAGGTTATAGCTTTCATATGGAATGTTTTCTTTATATGCTATACCTTTCAGTTTTTTGTATAAGAGCTTTTTTCTTACTTTTGTAATTAAAAAGAGAGAAAAGTGGAAATTATAAATGAATTTGCTAATTACAGAATATTAAAATCACTATAATTCCACTGCCCTAAGAGAATTAAGATCTTATTTGGCATTTGCTGATCTAATGCTGAAGTGTCGACATTGTTGATAGAATATAATTTTTATTTTTCGTACTCATGCCACACATGATTTGTAAGTAAAAAATTATTTCTTGCTATTGAAAACTCAAAAGCGGTATCTTATTATTTTTACACACATTTCTTTGATTACATGGAAGATTGAACTATTTTTTATATATTTGTTAGTTGTCTGTTTCTGTGAATTATTTGTTCTTGTATTTTGTTTGGGATCTTGATATTATTTCTTATTATACTTATTATATCATATTTCAAGCTCTTTGAAATATGATCCATTTTCATTTTTGTAACAGATATTTTTACTAAGTCGTTGACTTTTAAGTTGTTTATTTTATTTTGCATAGGAAGTTTTGATATTTATATAGCCATGTCTGTCTTTGCTCTTGTCCCCTCCATACCCAGATAGCAGATTGACTTTTATGGGTAATGTTTTCTTTTTGTGGTTTCATATTTCAGATGTAACTTTCCGATCTGTCTGAAATTTGTTTTTCCTATGTAGTACAAAGCAGAGTTCTAAAAAGATTACTTGGCTTGGCGCCTGTGGCTCAAGCAGCTAAGGCACCAGCCACATACACCTGAGCTGGCAGGTTCGAATCCAGCCTAGGCCTGCCAAACAACAATGACAGATGCAACCAAAAAATAGCCGGGTGTTGTGGTGGGCACCTGTAGTCCCAGGTACTTGGGAGGTGGAGGCAGGAGAATCGCTTAAGCCCAGGAGTTGGAGTTTGCTGTAAACTGTGATGCCATGGCACTCTACCCAGGGTGACAGCTTGAAGCTCTGTCTCAAAAAATTAAAATTAAAAAAATAAAAAGATAACTTCCCAGTAGCCATTTTCTCTAGTAACGTTTATTGAATTCTCTTCTCCACCAATTTGTCTTAGAACAACTTAATTTTAAGGTTTTTTTATTCTCTTAACTCATTTTCTTTCTATTGGTACTCTATTACTTTCAGTTTTCATTTTATTGATGTGCTCACTGTATAAAGAATAATTTGTAAAAGAACATGTTTAGAATCTGTATTAATTTAAAATTCCCAGACAAATTTTTAAAGCAACAATTATTTTAGAATATAAATTTCCCTAATTTGGGATTAATAATGAACTTTTTTGTTTTCCCCAATTCCCAACAATTTGGTCATTGTTATGATTAATATTTAATACATAATTTGAATATTTGTTTCAATTTGTTTTAACAGCATCTTATTGCTGAAGGCTCTATGTATGACAAGCTTATGGCTAAAAGTGAAGATACTTTACAAATGGATATACAAAGTGTTTCGGGCCAGGAGTCCGTCCAAGATGTTATCAAGGCTAGTCTTCAGACAAAGATCCAAGAAGCTAAAGAGAAAGTCCAGGTCTCTTTTTAATATTCCCTATTTAACAAATCAGTTCTTTAAAACTGCTCAGTGATTGGGTGGTGAAGGATGAGATAATGTAAAATATTACTTTTGCACTATATTTTATTTTTTTATAATTTACAGCATAATGGGAAATATAAATATAATAAATCAGATACTCCTTTGTCTAGTGGGAAAATAGGAGTTGCTATTTAAAGGAAATATTAACATATATTAACTTCTGAATTTACTAAAAAGTTGGGCCAAATGTTTTGTATGTTTGTTTTGTTTGTTCTGAGACAGAGTCTTGGTCTGTTGCTAAGTCTAGATGCATGGCATCATAGCTTACAGCAACCTCAAACTTGGGCTCAGGTGACTCTCTTTCTTCAGCCTCCTGAGTAGCTAGGACTACAGGTGCCCGCCACAACGCCCATCTGTGGGCCAAGTTTTTTTTTTTCTTTTTGAGACAGAGCCTCAAGCTGAGCCCCTGGAGAGTGCTATGGCTTTACTGCTCACAGCAACCTCCAACTCCTGGGCTCAAGCGAGTCTCCTGCCTCAGCCTCCCAAGTAGGTGGGACCACAGGCGCCCGCCACAACGGGCTAATTTTTGGTTGCAGCCGTCATTGTTGTTTGGCGGGTTGGGCTGGATTTGAACCCGCCACCTTGGGTGTATGTGGCTGGCGCCTTAGCCGCTTGAGCCACAGGCGCTGAGCCAGGCCAAGTATTAATATGAGAGTTGTTTTTTTTTTTTTTTTCACTTGCAGATCAGCATAGTAAAACTCATTGCAGTGTTTAAGAGCTCAGCTGACATTTCACCAGAATTGGATGTCAGGCTGATGGTGGAAGAATCACAGAAGGAAGCTGAATCAGACATTTTGAAAGCTGAACAGTTACTTGGGCAAGAAGAGAGCTCCAGTGGACTCATTTCAAAACATAAGGTAGCAATTTTTTCAACCATCAAATATAGGATATTTATTATTAGCTACCGATCTTGTTAGAAATCAAGATATTTCCTTCACTATAATTATATACAAAGTTGCTGTTACTTTAAAAAGTTTCTCAATATCATACTTTATTCCCCTATTAAAAATAAATATTTAAATAAGACATTTTCAATTTGAATTTTATTGTGCATCTGCTGAATGTACTTGGTGATGTAGGATAAAGAGCACAGCTGATTCTGTGACATTGAACAACAATTTAATTTCTCTGGCCTTTTTATTTGTGAAATGGGCATAACAATTCTAGCTGTATCTAGCTGCCAAATTTGTTGTGAGGGTTTAAATGAAAATAGGGAGCATGAAGGCATTTTTCATAGTTAAAATTCTCTAAATGTGAGTGAATACTATTATTATTAAAATGCATTGATAACAATTATTTTCAGATAGATTTGTCTGTAGGTAAAGTCCTAATAATGTTGTTTTGTATAGAGATAGGTTCAGGTTGATTTTCTTATGCTTTGATAGGCACTTGCTTGCAGCTTAAGATCTAACCAAACTAGGAGTCACTATTAATTAACACTCTCGGAGGTGCTAGGGGGATCAGCAGCAAAGCTAAACAGCGTCTCTACCCTGGGACATAGTGAAGAGGTGGAGTAGTATGTGTCCTGTTGTTTATCTGGCATTATAGAAGTCTTATCAAATGGTTAAAATGCACTCTGCATTGAGGGGGTAAGGATGCAGGCAGGCAGCACCCCGCCCTGCTGCTCCCACACTTTATAAACAGGGGCACACCTGGGACCCTCACCAGCCTCTCTTCTTGTCTCTTCTGGGGCTCAGCCCTATTTTTGCTTCCTGGATTGTTAACCACACTGGACTCTGTTATATCAGCTATTTTGTTACTAGCCTTCCTGTGACCTTAAAATCCCTCACCTGCTTGATCTTACACTGCCTTTTGCTAGCCTCCACTTGGCCAGTCCCCTCCACCTTTCCCCCCCACCTTTACTCCCAGGCTACTGAGAGTGCTGCATTGACCTTCAGAGTCAATGGTTCTTTTAAATAATCACTAGGCTGGATTTCAGAAGGGCAGATATGACCTGCACAGGAAAGTGAAAAGGAAAACATAGCGGTTCCCAGGCTTTGTCTTCCTCAGAAAGAGGAGCTGAGGTTGCAATCTCAGGCCATCTTCCTCTCCCTGACCATCTCCCTTCTGGGTCTCCCCTCTTTGCCTTTGGCATGTAGAGAAATGGACACATTTTCATAGCAGAAGCAAGGTTCCTGCCCTGCCAGGCATTGCCTTAAGAATCCTGGGACTCCATGGACACCTGGCAGCATGGGAGTGCCCTGCTGGCATATAGGGTTAGGGTGTCCCCAGAGTCCCCAGTCCAGCATTCCTCAGGAGCCCTCAGAGGAGGACCCAGAGCTCAGCATTGAGCCTCCCTGTGCCAAGCCTGTGATTGTGTGTAGCAAGAGAATGAATGCATCACATCATCTTCTTTTTGCTATAGGTTTTCTGCTTTTTCACAGGCCCCAGCCTGTTTTGTTGCTCTGTCATTCACTAGTTACTGAGGTAGGTTTCTGCTCTTGTCCAGTACACCAAGTAAGGGGCAGACACGTCCCTGTCAAGGCTGCCCCATCCCTACTTCTGCTCCTTCCCAGGGGCGGAACAGCCACACAATTGGCCCTGGGCCAAACTGTGATGTTGACAATAAGGTGATGTGTCCTCCCCGTAGCATCATGCTGCCTGTGCACAAGAGCTGGATTGCTGGGTTAACCCTGCTGTGTGCTTTCTCTTACTGGAGTGCTCCTCTCAACATGCGCCCATACGCCCTTTCTGCTCAATACTTTACTTTAGAAGAGGAAACATTGCCAGGGGCTTGTTACCCTGTACAATAAGCTTTTATTTTTTTTCTTTTTATCAAAATAATTTTGCAGGGGTCTTAATTAATGGGCCTCAACTCAGTAACAACATTTGAATAATAAATACTTTGTAACTCTTCAAAAGAATTCAAGACATACGGAAGGGATATCCACCTCAATTTACAAAGAGAAGTTTTAGGTGAATGTTCACATAGTCTTCAGAGACTCCATTCTTAGTTCCACCTGTAAATGACACACCAAAATTAGCTTTGGGGATTTGGCAGTAGAAAGAGGTTTGTATGGTCTCATTTGCTTTTTTTTTAGGAGGCACTAGAAATTTTTAATACTAAAAGTGTGGCCAAGTATTTGAAAGTAGTTGAAGAACTAAAATATAACGTAACTGAGGAGGAGAAGCTATCTTTGGAAGAAAAGAGTAGAGCTGTCTGTGCCAAGTGGGAGGTAAGAATATGTGTCTGGGGCTTACGCTTAGAGGTTGGATCTGGGCCTGTTTGTTGTCAGAGTCATTCTTGGGGTTCCCCTGTTGGACCCACCCCTTTAAGCTGTAGTCCTAGTTTTCACACAAAGTTTCCTAGCAGAATAGGCATAGATTATGATGGCAGTGAACCTGGATTCAGCAGGGTACTTCACTTTCAGGAGCCTCGCTGTTAAAATGGGAAGAGCACCGACTACTTGGCAGAATTGTTGCAAGGATTTATAGGAGCATCTACCACTGAGATTGTGTTCCACTAATTAATGTTAATTAATGTTAAAATGTATAATTAAGGCTGGGTGCAGGGCTTCATGCCTGTAATCCTAGCACTCTGGGAGGCCGAGACTGGTGGATTGCTTGAGCTCAGTAGTTGGAGACCAGCCTGAGTAAGAGCAAGACTCTTTCTTGTCTCTAAAAAAAATATCTGGGCGTTGTGGTGGGTGCCTGTAGTCCCAGCTACTCGGGAGGCTGAGGCAAGAGAATTGCTTGTGCCCAAGATTTTGAGGTTGCTGTGAGCTATGATACTATAGGCAACAAAGTGACAGTCTGTCTTAAAAAAAAAAAAATTTAGGCTCGGCGCCTATAGCTCAACCAGCTAAGGCACCAGCCACGTACCCTAAGGTGGCGGGTTCGAATCCCCAGCCCTGACCCGCCAAACAACAATGACGGCTGCAACCAAAAAATAGCCAGGTGTTGTGGCAGGCGCCTGTGGTCCCAGCTACTTGGGAGGCGGAGGCAGGAGACTCGCTTGAGCCCAGGAGTTGGAGGTTGCTGTGAGCTGTAATGCCACGGCACTCTGCCCAGGGGGACAGCTTGAGGCTCTGTCCCAAAAAAAAAAAAAAAAAAAATTTAAAGCTAGCTGGGTGTTGTGGTGGGTGCTTGTAGCCTGAAGTCCCAGATACTTGGGAGGCTGAGGCAGGAGGATCACTTAAGTCCAGGAGTTTGAGGTTGCTGTGAGCTAGGATGATACCACAACACTCTACCCAGGTCAACAGGGAGAGACTCTGTCTCCATATAAAAAAGTATAATTAATAAATGGTTGTTGGTATTTTAAATGTGTGTGTGCCTATATGTATATATAATCAAATTAAATGCTGTTAAGGTGCCTCCTAAAATGCTTTTTAAAATAAATTTTAAATTTTATTTGAATTTAACAGTTTTAAATTTATGGAATTTTTTTTTTTTTTTTTTGAGACAGAGTCTCACTTTGTTGCCCTGGGTAGAGTGCTGTGGCATCACAGCTCACAGCAACTTCTTGAGCTCAAGCAATTGATTCTCTTGCCTCAGCCTCCTGAGTAGCTGGGACTACAGCATCTGCCACAAACACCCCACTATTTTTAGAGGCTGTGTCTCGGCTCCAGCTCAGACTGGTAACTCGTGAGCTCAGGCAGTCCACCTGCCTTGGACTCCCAGAGTACTGGGATTATAGGCGTGAGCCACTGTGCCCAGCCTAAATTTACAGAATTATTGCATAGATGACACAGAAAGTTCCAGTATACTTTATGTCCAGGTTCTTCTTTTATTAACATCATGCATTAGTATAGTCACTGTAATGTGACTGTTTTGATTTGAATAGACCACAGTATAGAACTTAGGTACTGAGGGCAGGTATAGCATGCTTTATTCAGCTCATGGCTACCAGTGAGCGTCATGGGAGGTGCTCACAATAAGAAGGTCTTCTCTACCTTTTATACCCAGGGGACAATAGAGGCAAGGTGGTGAACAGCTGCTATATAAGTATGACACCACCGAGTACAGTTATGGCTGTCTCAGAAAAACAGCGACTTCCATGGTACCATGAGAGAGAGAGCCTGAAAAGTTTTGTCTGGTCCCACAGTTACCTTGGACACAGTCAATGGACAAATATTGGTGCATTATTTTTATCTAAAGTTTGTACTTTTATTCACATTTTCAGTTTCCCCCCCAGTGTTCCTCTTGCCAGGATACACAGATGACATTTCCATGGGCCTCCTCTGGCTTGGATGTGTAATTTGCATATAGTTTCCCCCGTCTGTAGCTTGTCTAAATGTAAAAATGCATTTTTAGTTGTTAGAAAAAATAATATGTTTATGGGTCCAAGATGTTTTTAAACACTCTCCCTAAAGATACATGGATAAATCAGAATATCGTTTCCGCTCTATTTCTTTTTGTTACTATACATATTTTTATTGTTGCTACAAATACTTTTTCAGCTTATTCTGTTCCCACAGTTAATGGATTCCTTTGTTTTTTGCAGTCTCTTCACCACGAACTGTCTTTGTACATTCCACGACTAAGAATAGATATTGAAAAGGGAAAGCTGAGTGACAATATTTCAAAACTGGAAAAGCAAATAAATAAAGAAAAGAAACTAATCCGTAGAGGAAGGACCAAGGGTCTCCTCAAAGAACATGAGGTACAACAGTTTATTCCCACTGAAATTTTATCATCGTTTTAGGGTTTACCTTAAATGGCTGTGTATGCCTTTAGCCCAGGATTAAATCTGCTCTGAACATTCCTGTAGCTCTCCGTCCCTGCGATTATCATCTCTTCAGTTCAAGCTCTCACTGGGGCCATGCTTCATACCTTTCAGAAGTGAGCAAAGTCATCACTGTGTTAATATTTCATGATTTCTCAGATTGTGTCTCAGCGGGCCCCTGTCCTCAGACTCTGGTCAACTGTCCCCAAAGTACCTACAGTTGCTTTTGTCAGGACACGGTGTCCTCAGAACTTTTGTGAAAACTAGCAAATCATGATAAAAAGCAACTAGGGCAAATATAATGATCTCTTTTTGGGTTCCTTCTTATTTTTTTTTTATGTAATTGAAAGCAGTGACTCCTCTTTTCATTTTTTAACTTTCTACTGCTTCCAATGTCAGTCTCTTTTAATTTTATGTTTATAAAATTGGCTGCAGGCCAGGCCCAGTGTCTCAGGCCTATAATCCTAGCAGTCGTGGAGCCTAAGCCTAGCAGATTTCTTGAGGGCAGAATTCAAGACCATTCTGAGTAAGAGTGAGACCCTGTCTATAAAAAAAAAAATCCAGAAAAATTAGCTGAATGTTGTGGCGGGCACCTGTAGTCCCAGCTTCTCGGGAGAATTGCTTAAGCCCAGGAGTTAGAGGTTGCTGTGGGCTATGATGACACCACTGTACTCTAGCCTGGGGCAACATGCTGAGCCCCTATCTTTAAAAAAATAAAAAGATATTGGCAGTTGGTTCTTCTTTTTAGTGTTCTTCACAAATCTCTCCTTTTTAATTCTATTATCTTAGTGTTTTAACTGGGTGGGGAGCTGTCCATTTTTGGCTAATTTTATGGGATTTTTACCTGCCTTCTCTACACTGACAGTGCCTTAATCTTTCCATCTGAATCCTTCCACCCGAGTGCTGTGTTCCATTTGATGTCACAGGTATTCTTCAGAGACCTCAAATTCACCATGTCCAGAATGGAACCAGTAATAACCTCCTCTCAAACTTGGCCTCCTTTTATTTTCTGCGTTTTGGTTATGAAAGGCATTGCTGTTTCCAAATGCCCTTCTCATCTGTCCCCTACCTTCCCACTCAGCCTTGGTTGAGTCTGTTGCCAAGTCCCGTCTTCAGAGCAGCTTCTCCTCCCTTTCTGTTGATGGTGCCTCCTATCTGAGCTGTAGCCCCTGCCTTAGTATGATGATAATGGCATCTCCCATACCCACCACTGGAGTTATCCTTTGGAGCCACAGATCTTATGTCACTGGCTCACCATGTCCCCCAAGACAACTCTTAAGCTTCTTAGAAAACCACTCAGTCCTCTCATGGTCTGGCCCCAGGGAACCATTATGATTCCTTCTACTGTGCTCTAGCCATGTGGGACTGCTGGTCCCTCCAGAACATCTTTCCTGTCTTGGTAATCCTTCTGCTGGCAATGTCCTTTCCCGCTTTTACTTGGAGAGCTCGTCCTTGCTCCTTCTGCATCCAGCTGACAATGGTCTCCTCTTGTGAGAAGGAGGCTGTCTCTGACCCCTCGTGACAGGTAGTGGCTCTCTCTCTCACTCTGCGTGCAGGGTGTTTGTGCTTCTGTGTTACTGAACTGCTCGTTCCTTCAGGACTGACTTCCTCATCTTTTTTCTCCAGTGCCTGTTGTCATTCCCAGCACACAGTAGATGGCCTATAACAGGATGGGGGGCCAAAGTCACACACATCTGTTAGTTGCTAATCCTTACGGAATAATCCTGAACCTCATCTGAAGCCTGTTTCCTTCTTTATTTCTTCAATTAGGCTTGCTTTTCTGAGGAAGGTATTCTGTACCAGCTTAATCACCACATGGATGTCCTGAGGGAGCTGTGTAAAGAGCTTGCTTCACAGAAGAGTCAGCAAGAAGTGAGGGCAGTACTCAGAGATTATGAGCACAAGATAGAAAGGCTCCTGAAATGTGCTTCCGAGATTCACTCAGTGCTGCAGCCCACAATGGGAGGCATTTCCAAAACCGAGCTCCTACTTCATAAGGACAGTTCTGCTCCAGGGTAAAACAAGATGAAGCCTTTTGCAAAATCAAATGACATTAGGCATTATTTATTCTCTTTTAAGTTTCATTTTCCTTGCTCACTTTTAATATGCTATTTCGATTCCTTCCTAGGGTGACCATGGCCACATCTGAGAATAGAGAAGAGGATTTTCACAATGAAGTGCCATTTGCAAAACCAGATAACCGGCCATCAGCTGAAAAGGTGGTAAAGATGGATAATGTGTTTTAGAAGTAAACCAATGCAAAGGCTATGTGTACAACAATCACTTCTCATTAATTAAGTGTTGGTTTTAAATATCTGATTATTTTCATCAACTCACTATTCCCACTGACATGATACAAGGAAGACTGATTTTCAGAGAATTAGAATGCAGTGAACCAGCCTCAGCACCTGTAGCTTAGCAGCTGGGGTGCCAGCCACATACACCAGAGCTGGCAGGTTCAAATCTAGCCCAGGGCCTGCCAAACAGCAATGACAACTACAACCAAAAAATAGCTGGGCCTTGTGGTGGATGCCTTTAGTTCCAGCTACTTGGGAGGCTGAGGTAAGAGAATCGTTTAAGCCCAAGAGTTGGAGGTTGCTGTGAGCTGGTGCCATGGCACTCTAACCAGGGTGACAGCTTGAGACTCTGTCTCAAAGAAAAAAAAAAGAAGGCAATGAGCCAAAGCTGTAAGGAGCATAACCTAATCTTCCTCTGGGTATGTAAACCATTCTCTCAAACAACCATTTGGACCATGAGTGCAGGTTGTCAGTGTACATTGCTACTGAGGGTAGAGAAGGTTCAGGTTGGTCTATACAGATGCCTCAGTTTCACCAACATGAATAAGTTCACTTATTATTACTTTTTCCTTTTCCTCATTATAATATGTTTCATTTTCCTCAGGAATTGGATTTTCTAAATTCTTGACTTGTAGGTAATTTGGTTCTTACTGTATATCTGCCCAAGACTGCCAGTCAGAAAGTGTGGAAGAAGGAAGAGGGTGCATTTGTTTTCAGTGGTTTTCTTTTGCGTGTCAGGCTTCTGTCTCTTTTTGCCTATGGCTATGTGGTCTCAGGCAGGAACAACATTTAGGGACTGGGAGATTTCCTTTATCATGCTGTCATTCCAATTAGAAGGTGAGAGTCAGTCTAATAAATCTCCTCTGTCCTATGAGAAGACTTTTCTGGGAGCTGAGAAATCTCAAACAGATTCTACTGTCCTTGGTTTAGGGTATGAAGAATCAGTGATATATCTTTGAGCATAAAGCATTTATTTTTTCCTGGTAATTAAGTATGTTTGAGGTACTGTGTTTATTATTTCACATATTTGCTTAGGCAATGGAACCAATTACAGATTTTAACGTAGCATCAGAGTTAAAGTCTCAGCAAGAAGAAAGCATTGTAGAGAACTATGGAAAGGATCGGTGTCCATCTATGAAGAGTTTACTAGAGAGGTAAGCTCTTTGCATACAGCTGGAAAATCCATCAAGTGATTCATGAATGCAAACATCTGGTCCTATTTAATAGTTTTGTTTGCCTTTAGTCTCACTTGGGGTCCAATGACTAAAATAGAAATGCTGTGGGGTTTCCTCATGTACAATTGACACTAATTAAAAAAAATTTTGTCTTATTTTAAAAATGAAGTACTATAATGCTGCATTCAATTTTTTTCCCCAGGTATGATAAACATAGACAGATTCTTGAATTACAGCTACAAAACAACACATTCAGGATTACTTCTGATTTCTCTCCGGAAAAGGAAAGGAATGCTGCTTGCCTGCAGGCTAAACTGACAGATCTACAGGTAATTACTGAAAATACTATTTGTCTGGCTATCTCTTTAGTTAGAAAATAATACCACCCTGGGTGTAGACATCAATGTTTTTGTTGAGATCCCATATGCTAAATGTTTCCAAGGAACTCTCTTTGTTGGCTTGCATTTCTAATGACATCTTATTCCAGAAAGGGATTTGCTTTCAAGTACCAAACCCAGGGAAGACTTTAATTTAGGGGCCAAATTTGTTGCCTGCATTTTAATCTGAACTCCAGATATTGTGGCTTGAAAAGGGCATTTTTTTTTGTTTGTATGTTTGTTTGTTTTGGGGGGGAGGAGGCCTCAGATAAATTGGTGAAAAACATGTTGAAGGGCTATTAACTTGACCTCAGTTGCTCCAAAATTGACAAACCAGTGACTCTGAGTATTTGCTAGAGTCATTTACTCGATCAGATTGTTACACCATCTAAAAGTGCAGTACACCAGTTGTTGACTATCTGATGCTAGGCACTAAGGGGCAGACAGTGAGGGTGTTTTTGCTCTAAAGGATGGGTCATTCTCCTTCAGAGGAAGTATTTCTGTTGACTCAGGAGCAAGAGAAAAAACTGTCTGTTAGTGGTGGGCATATACATCATAAGCTCTATGAATAAGTCCTGTCCTCATTTTGAGGATGGTCTGTGCATGGCAGTGTGGCATTCTTACAGCATGCTTGCGAGTACATGAGAGCCAACCCTCACAGGCCAGCTCCTGCTTCATCCTTGCAAGTTTTCTGGTTTCCTTGTTTTATTATGCCAGGTCTTGTCACACTCTACTATCTGGCTCCTCTGTATTTTTCATCTGATAAGCAAAATTTATGTGTGAAAAGCCCCTCTTGTTCAAATGATGGATTTAACATGTTTTCATCCCAATTAAGAAACTATCTGGAGACCTTTCCCAGTGACTCAATAATGAGCTGGTTAGAAAGTTGTACTAATCTTTGGGGAAAGTGAAGAACAAATCATATTACTAATATCTCAGTAAAATTCGATACCAGTGTCTTTAAAAAATAATGAAATGCAAAATAAGGAGGTGGAGTAGTATGGCATTATAGGCATTACTTGTAGAGGATATGTTAATTTCATTCATTTCTTATTCATTTAGAAAGAATTTTTGTTCACTCCAATTTTCTTTTAGAAGGTAATAAGGATTTACTATATAGAAAAAATAGAGTATCTGTTCTTACATCTATATCTTTCTAAATTGTAATCTAAAGTGTTTCTACTTTAGAAGAAAGGAGTTTAGGCTTGGTGCCCATAGCTCAGTGGTTAGGGCACTGGCCACATACACCAGGGCTAGCGGGTTCAAACTTAGCCTGGAGCTGTTAAACAATAATGACAACAACAACAACAAAATAGTGTGCGCGGCTTGGTGCCTATAGCTCAACCGGCTAAAGCGCCAGCCACATACACCTAAGGTGGCGGGTTTGAATCCCCAGCCCGGACCCGCCAAACAACAATGACGGCTGCAACCAAAAAATAGCCGGGCGTTGTGG